CCAGCATTGAGAAGGCTGAGGCAAGAGGATCATTGAGAGTTTGAGACCAATAGCTCAGCAGATTAAAGTGCCTTCTTAGGCAGAGGCAGGGGCCAGGAGTTCTATCCCCCCGGCCTGCCGTGCCAGCCCTGCCCCCGGGGTATGCTGAGATGCAGATACAGACTGGGTGTGGTGGCACACACCTGTAATCCCAGAACTTGGGAAGCTGTAAACAAGAGGATCACTATAAATCCGGTCTAGCAGTGAGACCCTGTACACCCTGTAGACCTTGTCCTAAATACAAAAAAAAAAAAAAAAGGAAGAAGAAGAAGATGAAATGGAGTGGAATCTTCGCTCTTGAAGCAGCTTACTTGAGCGCCATGCAGACGTCAGCCTGCAGACCACCTTGCATCGGGTCTTTCAGGTTTATTTCTGTACAGAGGTACTGGTTTGTTCCCTTTCAAAATTATGGGAATGTGGTGGAGCTGCGCATAAACAGTGGTGGGAAGCTACACAATTGTGGGATGCTGAGCCTGTGCAGAAGGTCCTTAGCAACAGGCCCGTCATGTTCAGAGGTGAAGTCCTTGTGAATGTGGAAGAGAAGAAGACCCATACTGCCAGGGAAGGGGATCGTGGAGACAATTGCCAGCGGGGACCTGGAGGCCCCCCAGGTGGGCTGGGCGATGGCATGAGAGAGTAACACATTTTTAAAGGAAAAAAAAAACTGAATTTCCTTGCTTACTTGGCACATATAGACTGGATTTTATTTTTGTAAACAGACATTTCCCCAAAGGAATGTGTCTCTTATTACTGACATTTGGTATGTTTCAGTCATTGGAATATTTATTTATTTTTTATGTGTATCGAAAGCCTGGAAGAAGTACAGGCTTTGATAAACATTTTGGAGGCAGGAAAAATCCAAAGTGTTTCTTTGCAAGTCATGATTCTTCTGATGTTGAAAAATGGTCGCATGGGAAATTTGAAAAACTCTTCTCACTGATATAGTTGAAAAGCAAATAAACTGTGTTAATAGAACTTTTCTTTTGATATTGATCACAAAGCAGTTCTAAAAGCTATTGTTTTTACTATTGAAATTTAAATTGTAAGATAAGTTTGAATGTCTAGAATGCAATTGATAGGCTTTTCTTGAACTGTTAGATTTTTTTTTGAGCTAGAATTTTTTCATTTGTATTTGTTAAACAAAATAAATAAGAAAAAAAAAAAAAGACTAACCTCTCATCCAAATAACAACTAGAGCAAAAATGTTGTGCCTTCTATTTGTGAGAGATTCCACTCTTGGCAATTGTTTAAAGAAAAATAAATCTAGATTTGTTTTATTGGGTTCAGGAAAAAAAAAAAAAA